GAGGTTTATTCTTTTTCCTGCGGGTCTACAGAAAAGATAGAATTTGGACCTCTCTACCGTGTCAGGGGGATTTCATTTTCTTTTGTCAGGAAGAGCTCAACTCTCCTTCTGCAGCTGTTGTACCAGCAGATGGTTTAGAGCAGGGGTCGGCAACCCCTGGCACGCGTGCCAGCATTGGCAAGCGGCACCGTAACCAGTGGCACACTAGGAATAAGTGGAATAAGTGTGCAAAATATTTAAATTGTATTTTCGGATCCTGAACGAGACCGCCGCCAGAGCGCGTCTACCTGCAGAAGGAAGCCATGCACTCAACGCAGCCCCGCTCTCTTTAACTCCAGGTGACTTTCTGCCGCTTTCCTCCGTGGTGCAGTGCTGATCGTCTCACCACAGAGGAAAGCACTTCACAAATTGCAGTAGGCCTACCCATAAGGAGCTGTACAAATGCCGCAGTTTTTGCGTCTGTGTCTTTAGTTGAAAGCCCAGTGGCGATCTGCTCATCGAAATAATATGCTACAAAGGGGCGGACTGGCCATCTGTGTGTTGAACTTTCCTGTCGGCTCCCAGACCATAGTCGGAGGAGGGCAGAAGCAACAAGCTTCAGGTTCAATAACCCACTTTAGCTTAAATGACTGGAGAGAGGCGAGCTCTTCTTGGGAGGCCGTTGCATTTATTTAGCTGTTCTTCTGTTTCACAAAATACATCACAGACCTCTGTTTATCTGCTGCCTCGTTTCACTTCCAGAAACATACACACGTTCCCTCACTGTCGCTCTGCCATCCACACACACAAATGCACAAGCCACACCCCTCTCTCTCTCTCTCTTAAAGGGACAGCGATCTCATCTCACTTTGTATGACCCTAATATCATAACATGTGTGTTCTGGAGAATCACAGAACGGACGATTGTCCTTATTATCATGCCGTATAACCCAATTATTTATATGTGGTAAATGTGTAAGTTTCGTTGACAGGTCCACACACTGCTTCCCCGCAGCGAGGCTTTTTAAGACCCTGCGGACACCCTGTATATCCAATCTATTCATGTTGGGGGAAAAAAGCATTTTCTATCACCGAGCTATCTTTGGTTTCACCATTAACCTCTTCTATCAAACACAACCTTCTCCATCAATCAGACTCACCCTCATCTCCTCCCTTCTTCTTGTCCTCCCTCTTGCCCTCCTGTGTGGTGGACTTTCTGCTGTGCTTTGCAGACTTCTGTACCGGACTCTGCCGTCGCTCTCTGTCGGCGCTGCGTTTCCTCCCTTCATCGGCATCGGCTTCTCCTTCTCCTCCTCCTCGATCACTACTCGTCTCTGCATGGCGTTGCCGCCGCTCCTCGTCTCGGTCCCTGTTTCTGTCGCTGTGGGAACCGTGGTGGTGATTTTTGATTGGTTCTTTGTTTGGTTTGACGTAGCGGACATCTTTTCGGGGAGGAGGAGGACTCGGACTCGGCTCATGCTCGGGCTCAGGTTCATGCTCGGGGCTCTCACACTCGTCTGACTGGTAGCCTCCCCGCCGTGGAGGGGTATACTGCTCCTGGTGGGGGGGAGAGGGCGAGTAGTTTGTGTGATAGCCTCTCTCTTCTTCTTCTGCCTCCTCCTCCTCCTCCTCTTCTTCTTCTTCTTCCATGAAGGAGGGCTCTTCCTCCGGGGAGGGCTCCCGGGTGCGTCTGTGGCCTCCTGCTGCCTCCGGGCCTTCAGAGTTATTGTGTGAGCGTGGAGCCTCGTTGATGTGGCTGTTGGTGGGTCTGAGGTAAAAACATACACAGGGGATAAAAACATATATTAGTAATTTATTCTCCTTTAACCCCAGAGATTTATTAAGACTGGAACAATAAATCCCAACCTGGAAGTTGAAAGAAATGCATGCCGGGCAGAGAGACAATTAACAGAATAGGAAAGCTTGAAAAAGTAACAACAAAAAACACAAATTCCTTTTTTATGTTTATTTTCCTTGTTGATTACCAAATGAATTGACATGCTTAGGCCTCTAATAGGTTTTAAAATGATCAGGAGTAAAACAATCTACTGATACACGAGACATTCTCACAATGCAGCCGTATGTTTTTATTTTTAAATCCAGCCCACAATTTTCAACTCATTTAGATTTTCCAAAGTGTTTTATTTCACCCAAATGTGATTTGATCCTCAACACTAACATTGTTTTATTTTTGGCATTGTGTACATTTTAAATAGTGTTGATTACCTTTTTTTAATATCTGTACAGCTCTACGCTTTAAATCCCAATACTACATATATTGAATTATCATATTACACTGTATTTAGCTTTTGGTATATTTATATTTGATGTAAAGTTTTTACAATAGTTCTATTAAAGACTTTCTCCACTCCCTAATACCACTGTGTGTTTGTGCACTCTCAGGTATGCAGCACTCACCTGTCTGCAGACTGAGGAACCAGTTTCTTCCATTTGGCAACGAGACCTTTTGCCACCTCTCCAGCAAGTTGGTGTTTCCTAAAAGAATTCACAATCTTCCCCACTCCAGTTTCCTACAAGAGAAAGTAGAGGAAAGTCAAAACATGCACATAGATTTAATTATTTAACAACACAAGCAGTCAAATAAGTTAATAATACTTATATTTCCAGCTGTTATCATATCTTTGGCAACTTCAGCCGAGTGATCTGATTGGATTTCTATAAATTGCGCTTGAAAGAAAGTAGAAAGCTGACTAAGAAAATAATTGTTCTCTCAAAATAACTTTAAACAAAAGGTCAAATTCTTGCATAGTACAAATGCTGTATTATTGCATTTTAGATGGAGACGTCAGTGATTATAGACGCTTAGGAGCTCCTTCCCAAACTCATTATTTACTGTTCCTGTCTGCAACACTGCAGCATCCTATTTTTGGTGGGTCTTTTTTAGTTTAGAAATCAGGAGGCTCCTTACCACCAGTATGTCCACTGTCATGGGAAGTTCCCCCAGTCTTTTCAAAGTCTTCAGCAGCTGAAAAACAAGAAAGGATTTCAGTGGACACATTTAAAATACCAGAGCAGAGGTCCACACATTGTGAGTAATACCAGCAGTGCCATTACATTTGTATTATTAAAGATAATAAATGTATTCTTCATTTATATTTTTTACAAAGAGTAAAGGTTAAAGTTTTTAAGCTTTAATTGTTGTTTATTGACATTGTTTTTCCATCCTTGGTGTTTATCTTGTTATATTGACTTATATTAATGGATTTTTAACATTTTGTCTTGTTAATGGTCATTATAGGCCTTGCATATTTTGTGTGTGAAGCACTTTGGGATGCACATACTACTGTACCACTGTATATGTTGCATGAAAGGGGATATATAAATACATAAAGTTGAGTTAATTTACAATACCTATATTCTCTTAGCACCGGTAGTTGTAAAAGAACCATTAAAAACATGTTGCTGATTATTAGGGGTTGAACATATATTGTGATATAAATACCAATTAATATCTTTGGGTGTATGTTATCAATGATAAATCAATAAGAAGGACTGCTTAATGACAATACAATATGTTTATAGGATGTTGGCATTAATGTCATGACATTCTTACATTTCTAAGGTTCATTAACTGGTTTATCCAAAAACAGACTGTCCCTATTTATCCATAAACACATTTTTAACAGCTAGGCGTGAAACTTTACAACCCCATCTGAAGGTCTTCCTCAGTGGATGGAGTTGGCTCAGTTGTCATGGACGACCACCTGTTATCAAACTGTTATTAAACTTCAATGGTAAGAGTCACATGGCAACAACTGAGCTATCTCCATGACAATAAAGCAAACTCCATCTGCTGCCAAATTAATGTGGATGAAAGCAACGAGAAGAGATTATTTTAACTTCAAACTTTCTCAATACATTTTCAGAAAACCTACTTAAAATATAAAGCTAAATTAATATGTTCATTTTTTTTTGTTAAACCTAATGTTACATTTGTATATGCTTGTTTTGCTATGTTAAGATCATATAAATTAAATAAAAAATCTACCCCCACCAAATGATATTGATATTTTGAAACACATTTGGCATTTCAATGTCTCGTCACGGCTAAATACGTGTATATATGTACAGTAAAAAGTTATTGTACATAGGTAACTTGCTTATTTTTGTAAACAAGTTTAATAATAATGTTTTTTCGGCAGAATATATTTGTCTATCTTTATTTGGTTTGGCTGTTGTAACTGTGACATGTTCCAATTGAATATAGCTATTTTATATCATACATAATAAGTGAATATAAGGTTCAGACTGATAAAACAATACATTTTAAGACCTTGGACTCTGAGAAAGTGTAATGGAGATCTTTCAATATTTTCTGAAATGTAATAGAAAAAACGATTCATTAACAAATGAATGGGCAGATTAATGAAGAATTCAAGTAATAGTGATTTGCAGCCCAAATGCACATATGTATAGGCTACATGGCAAGCACATCAAAACCAGTTGTTCACGATTTAATTGCAACCTCTCTTTAGTGTGACTTAAGTAAAACTAAAACACTCAGGTGTGGAATCCCTTTACTCTCATTATGTGCTTTAAAAAGAATCCGACCTAAAGAAACTACACCTGCTTTTTACCCGGAGGTTTGAGATCTCTTCCTGCCTGTAAGTGGCAGTGAAGTAAGAAACCTCAGTGTCTGACTGAACAGTAGCATGTAGCAGCCTGTATCATCATGGAGACTTTATAACGTGGCCTAACGGGTCCGGGCTGTAGTCAAATCACTCAGCTGTGATTTCAACATTTTGAATAAATGAAATATGTTGCACAACACGGAGTATATCTTCTGTTTTCTAAATCTCACACACCATGACTGCTTTGTTTTGGGAGGTTACATTTGAGGATGATAGTAAACAAAGGGGTGCTCGGACATTGTTAATTTTCTTTTATCCGCTTTTAATTTTACACATTTTAAGAGTTCGGTCCCAGTGCACTGATGTGCAGCTGTTGTATATCATGAACTAAAATGTATCAGTTCACATTACAGGCCTGGAGTCGGTGTCAGTACTTTCCGCACTAACGTTGGTTAGCTAGAAGGCTAACGGCTACTATGGCCCCGAGTTTCTTCACAAGATAAATTACGTTGTGTCTGATGTTATTATTTTAATAACACATCAATTGTCTATGAACGGTATTTAACTGAGATGACAAGTGTTATTAGTAGCTAAAATGTAATCTTAAAGAAGTGAATTTTTACAAGTTAAAACCCCTTAATTGTCGTGACGTTTCACATGATGCCTTCACAGACTGTTGGAAATACTGCCATTCTATTCTATAGTGTCAACTTTTGATTATCTAATTAGATCTATTCAGCTAAGTGTCGTTTTGACCGTTATCCTTACCATGCATTAAGTATGCAAACATATCAGGAGTTACATCCAAATATACATATGTATGTTCAATTAGATCAAGATTGAACTAAGACTTAGTTTTAAGTTAAATGTATGTTACTTCTGCAACACCAAGACACTAAGTGTCTTTTTTTAAAGGAAAGGAATATATATAAAGACCTCCAATCACATGTTTATTTGATTGGTGAAAGATATACTGATGTACACTCATTGTCTTAGTTTCAAGCCAATTAAAATAACAACAAAGTCCTTTCTTCATTTTTTTAAAAATCTGAGATTCATGTATATCTTTTCAAGTTATTTTTTTGACTGTTTGTTTTTTCAATCAGAAACATTCTACAGATCTTTAATAACAACACACATGTATACATTATAAATCTGATAAAGCATTTGTAATACATAGCGTATAATTATTTACCTAAGTCATTTGTGAGGGTTATATTCGGACAAGACTATCAAGTACCATTTGTATTTATAAAGGATAGGGGATGTGCAAATCCTAGGTTTTTAATAAACTATTTATTTATTTTAGTGCAAAAATAAGTCAGTGTATTATCAGATAGGGAGCTGATATTAGCCTATATATTTTTCTCTTTACCTGAAGTAACCTGAGACAAGTGTAAACTAATAATTAATGTTGTTTTATTACTTGATGTGAATTTTGATGCTTATACTTGAACCATCATGTTTATCATTACTTCAGTTGATTTTTACTTTCTACTATCTAACTACTTAAATTATAAATAAATCAAGTATTACAGAAAACGACAGTTCTATGGAAATAGTATTAGCAGTTCCAACCCAAAAGGTGTTGCATTCTCTTTTACGGAAAAGATCTTCAGAAGACGGAGCACGAAGGCGGCCCCCAAACGCAGCATTTAAAAAACGGTTGCGACTTTCGGAGAGCTACCGTGAGGCTCAGATTTAGGGAACCGGGACAAAGTGTTTCATTTAGGGACGCATTCGGTGCTAAACACACCATGTATCCGTCTAAAGGTTACCTTTCGAGGCTCCGGGTTCTCCAGGAGCCGGGACTGAAGTCTATCCACTGTTTCCAGCAGGTCCTCCGCCATGTTTACTGCTGGTACCCTGTCGCCCGGAAACTACTTCATCTGAATGGGGAAAAAAACGGATCGGTTCCGCTAGTTCAGTGACAGCTACTAAACTCAACAGACGTATAACAATTACAATATATATTTTTTTTACTAAAATATTATTAATAAATACATTTACACTATACGAGTAAAGAAACATTCGGTGAAAAAACTAATGTTTATAAATTATTGATAAAAGTCGGAAGTACGTCACGGCACAGCTGACGCAGGACGCAGTGACACCTGTTGGTTTGACGTCAGTGAAAACGCTGAATCAGCATGTAGTGTAATTTACTGTGTATCCTGTAACCACAGACTCTGTAAAAGAGCCTGTAACATCATATATTCTTTCAGATAACTATTACTGTTGACCTCATAGCAGTATGGAGTAGTAGTATAAAGTAGCATAACATGGACATACATATTACTTTGAGTTATAAATTATAATTCCCTCAAAATATAATATAATACAGCACTCCAGTAAAAGTACTTCATTACATTCCATCACTGATTTGTAGAATTACTTTTTTTCAAAAATTATATATTATAGACTCCAATCCAAGCATAGTTTAAAGGAAATATAATTATTATAAATATAACTACAACAAAGTTCATTTACTTGTACAGTATAGCAAGTATTTGAAATTAATACATTCTTTTAATGCGTCAATAAAAAAAATCCAATAATGCGAAATATATAACATAACTAGGGGTGCAACAAGCATTGCACTCATAAAGTACCAAAGATACATCGCAAGTAAAGATGATTGAAAAGCAAGAAAATAATGGGTGCCAAAGTTCTTTGTATAACTGAGGTTATAGTTTCATATTATTATCAATTATATATATCTTTAAATCTTTAATGAATACATAACTAATGTTGTAGCTCCCTTAATCTGAAGCCAATGTAAAGTACTGTCTAGATAAATTGTAAAGTACTGCATCATTCAAGCATGCTATATCTAGTTAAAGTAGGAAATAAATATAGTGGAGGAAAAGGTGTATTTCCCTCTGAGATTAAATGAAGCAGAAGTATAAAGTATAGCAACAAATGCCCACTTAAAAGACAACGCCTTCTTTTACATTACATACTCTCAGTAAACATGTTTGGAATTATTTTATATCACTTAAATTAACTTTTGAATTCAGGCACTTTTTCCTGTAACACAGTATTTTTTACACTGTTCTATTTTATTCAAGCAAAGGGTCTGAATACCTTCACCAATGTAAATAGCTTTAGTAACTATAATTACAGTGACCCGTGTTCCACTTTAAATACTAGCTATATTAGATAACGTGTTTTAAACCTTAAAAGCAGATTATCTGTAAAATTCCCCCCTTTTTTCAAAAGAACACAGAAACACAACCAAATCTAAATCCTGAAACCACAAAGGCTATGAAGGGGTGAGGCGGGGTTGGCTGAGAGGAGGGACGGCCTCCAATGGGATATTTTTGGAGGGGAGGGCGACAAGGAGTGCCTGTATTTGGATGTGGAGGTGGGAACTGAAAGAAGAGAGCTCGGGGAGGCTTGGTTGGTTTTACAGGTCCAGGGCAGGGGGGCCTTCAATCCTACGTCACATCTTTGGATGGGATCCTGATTTCCTTCTGATACTGACACACACACACAGCACCCAGACAGAGGACGGTCAGAAAGAGGAACCTGTTAGAGAACAACGAAGAAAAAAGAAATAACGTAAAAGAAAGCTGGAAGAAGAGAAGCAGAGAAAGCAAAAGGAAGGGAAGAAACGCAAGAACCAGGAGGGAGAAAGAGGTACAAATAAATACATTTACATTACAGCTTGTTGAGCCAAAGTTTTGCATCATAAAATATCAGCTTTCCCTTGAAGTTAATCAAAAATAAAAGCTTGGTTGACATTCGACAATTTCATTGCATTGAAATCACTTTTTAAGTAAATGTTCTAAAGTGCTTAATTGAAATGTTGAGGTACTTGTACTTTACTTTACTTCATACTTCTTCTCCACTACATTTTAAAGGCAAGTATTGCAGTTTTTACTCCTCCTTACCTAACATCTTTAGTTCTTTAGGATCATTTTTAACCATCCAACCAATAGTTAATATGTTCTGCATCACTGACATACAAATGGTGTTTCATAGTACGCTTCACAAGTAATATCTAATTCATATATGACATTATTTATAACACTCTGAAAGGGAGGTATTTTACTTTAAGCTTAAAGTACACTTTAAGCTTTTTAAGCTAAAAGTACACTTTAAGCTTAAGTACACTGCTAGTAATACCTTTTTACTTTTTCTTCAGTCAAATCTTTAAATTGTATTTTTGTATGAGTATTTTTCACAGTAAACAGTGGTAGTGCTTCATTTTTGTTTGAGAAAAATATACCATATGACTTAGTCTTCCAGCACTTAAAAAAACACACATTATATAAAAGAACACATATGGAATGATGCGTGTAAATTATACTGACATTTATATTTAACTGCTCAATGGAAACAATGTGAAGTAGTTGCCAGTTGCCGTGTGGATTCTGCTACATGGGGGTGTCAATCCTTGGCTGCAAAACACACACAAAATGCACACACACACAAGTAAATGTTGAGTGTGTCAGCGCCTATAAATACTCTCATGAGATAGGCAAGGAATTCAGCTGCAGTTCTGAGCGTTAGAAGTGGAGAGGCATGCAGGGTGGTGTGTGTATGTACAAAATAACAGAACCACTATAATACACAACGCTGTTGGTAATACCACTTCGATAAAGATCGTATTATTCAACCTGTCTGTTGTGTTGATTCAGTTTAACGGTCATTTTGAAGGACCTATTGAAAAAGCAAATAAGTTGCCTTCAACTCTACTTTTTAGTGTCTATTAGCTAATTGTTTTGATTTTACAGCAACTTGGTTTACTCTCATCTTTTTTCGGATTGCATATACAACGTAGCTTTTCTTAGGGAAAGAGCTCTCAAAATCCACGTTACACTATCTGCCCATAACCTTGTAGCATTTAGCGGGTAAAGACTCAGTGCTAAAACCCAGCAAATAGTTAGCATTTTAGCACAGTGTCTTTGAATGTTGGTTAGATGCCTGAAGATAAGTCTTTGGTTGGCACAGGATTAAGAGATTTTAACCTTTTATTCTAGATCTTTAAAGACGTCAGTAAATACCAGAGTTTAGTATTGGTGACGTTTAAAACATTTTGTGTAGTTTGTTTCTAGTAACATGAGCTTTTTACTTCTGGGCCCAGGAGTTCAAAACTTTTAATCTCAATCAGATCCGATCCGATTTTGAAATCCCATTTTTTGTGATCCAGGATCAGACAAATCGGCCAGATTTTGTCCCTGGAGTTCAAAGCAATTCAGGATAGGATCAGCCTGATCCAGATTACGATTTTTCAAGATGACTAGATCCTGAATATCAGTGCTTTAATCCTACCGATCGCCATCTAGTGGACATGACAAATAATACAAGGAAGACAAGAGACCACATTGCAGAAACATCTATAATGTTTAATTATATTTTTTTATTTGAAAGGTGATGACAGATGGACTTTTTTTTTGTTGAAGATATTTTTACTTTAATCTAAATTACATTTGTGATTGACAATCTTTGCTGTGATACTTTTATGAGCATAAACATTTATGTCATCAACATTTGGTTGAAAACAAAATAGGCCACGACAAACGTGAGCAAAAATGGAAAAAATAAAATGTATTTCCCATGAAGGCTAAAAATTGTGTATTATTTCAGTCAACAAACTTTGCCATCTTATTTAAATTGAAACATATTTTTAAATAAATGGTACAGTACATTTTGCTCTGGTAATCCACTGGAAATCCACCCCTTTGGCGGGATCAGGATAATCCAGTTTTTTGGGATCAAACTGATCCCAATCCTGTGTTGTCGGTTTGAACTACCCGTTTTAAAGATTTGATCCAGATTAAAGCTTGGATTGGATTTCCTGATCTGATCGGATATCAAAGTCATCCTAATCCTGTTTTTTTAGTTTTTGAACTCCCCAAAA